CCAAAAAAACTTAAAACATAAACTCACCCCTCTCCACCAACCATTCAACCAAACAATCAACTACAATCAATTGCAACTAAGCAATTAACTATGCAACTAAGCAACCAACTAGACATCCCTACCCCGAAAAAATCCCCTAAAAACCCCCCCTAAAAGAAAATCATGCACAAATTACCAGTAGCTCCTAGATAATAAAATGCCCAAAAGCTTAACACTCAAGCTTAACACTCAAGCTTAACACTCAAGCAAATGAACACAAGACAAGAATAAGAATTTAAATAAAAAAAATTCCAACCCCACAAAAATCCCATCAAAAAATCCCAAACAAAAAAAACCCAAACACCCTCATAGACATAAACATAAACATACTAACACGAATATAAACTAATAACCCAAACAAAAGAATACTATAATTCCTATAATTCCCTACTTAAAAGAAAGAGATAATTAGATATTACCTAAATACTTACCTTACCAAGTACCTTTTCATATTCATATTATTCATCTACTTACTTACTTCCTCCCTCATTATCGCACCCCAACCACTGCACCACTCCACCCAACCATCCCATCCCATCCTTATTACCCCCAAGTCCAAACCGAAGTTTTTTTAAAAAAATAGAGATAAACGCACTAAAAAAATCACCAATCACGAATCCACAAATCACAAAATCACAAAAACCAACCCCAGAAAAAGCAGTCATTAATATGATTCATTATTTTTCCACTACTCCATGGCTTGACAAGTTCGAATTACTCGATTCTCGATTCTCGATTTTCTGGGTATACTCAATCCATCTACTCCATTCAATGTATCCATTTCATCGAGCTCAAAGGGGATGTGGAGTAAAACTCAAGCTACCCATCTCACACAATCCATATCTGTGCACTGCAAAATAGGCATGCAAGCTAATCCGATGCAAACCGCCATTGCTTTTTTTTTCCCCTCTGAATGATTATGCGTTACCATTTGCCCATTGAATACTCATTATGTGGCACTTGATGTTCAAGTCTGGGTCGGATAATCAGACATATTGATGTGCATTTTAGTGTTTCCAAGTCTACTCTTGTTCAAGTGTAGTGAGACACAAGCCACGAAGCCTACTTGCGGCGAGGTCTTAGTTCTGACCATAAGCAACTAAGCCCATCTTGAGGACTCCCTCTCTGCCTCTAATCTCGCAATCCTCGCCTCGTCATTGTCCTCTCCACCAGCCCTTCTCCCCTTTTTTCTTCCCTTTCTCCCACTACCATCATCGACCTCATCACGACTTCTCTTTCTACCCACACTGAGCGCGCTTGTTAAACCCGCAATACGTTGTGCTTCCTTAAGCAATCTTTCTCTATTGCGCGCTTCTCGTTCCAATGTATGTGGGTCCACTTCTTCTTTTTTCTTCTCTGGACGATCCTTTTCTTGGTCTCGTGAACTTGTGTTGTTCCTCTCTGATTCTCGGCGCGAGCGATGAGATTCGCTATGACGACTTGAGCGATCCTTTTCACGTTCGCGTTCACGGTCTCGCTCGCCACCTTTTGGTCCGGTCGGGATATTTAATGGCAGATTAATGTCCCGAGAGGACTTATTGCGAGAACTTGCACCTTTGATTTCAATGCCATTCAAACCACTGGATATGAGTGACGATTTTCTGGAAGAAAGATTCGGCTCGGTAGGGGTGTCAACAGGAGTATCACCCTTTACTCTGTCTTCCGCGTCTCGAGATGCATGTCGACTTTGCCTATGGCGATGTTCTCTTTCACGGTCACGTTCGCTACGTTCACGTTCTCGACTTCTAGAACGTTCATCTCGATGAGAACGATGACTAGAACGATGCTTATGAGACGAAGACCTATGTTTGTCATCATCTCTTTCTCGATCACGATATTTGTCGCGGTCACGACGACTACTTCGATGACTTGATCTCTTTGACTCTTGTGGTGAAGCTGATCTTGATCTATTCTCGTCATCTCTTCTCCTATCATCATCTTTTTTCTCGGCCTTAGATTCATTTGAATCACGTTCGAGATCAGCTTCCTCCTCGTGACGACGTCTACGTTCTCTTCGCTTTTCACGTCGTCGCTCGCTTTCTTCCTCATCTTCAGAACGAGATCGAGAAGCGGATCTATGCCTGCGTCTATGACGTCGTTCTCTACTCCTGTCTCTCTTATGATCTTTTGACTTTGACCTTGATTGTGACCTGTCCCTTTCCTTCTCTAGCGAAGGAGACCTAGTTCTTCCTCTTTCTTGAGTGGCAGATTCTGGGGCGACACTAATACCACTAACACTACCCCGCGCACTAGCGCTAGCTTTACCCGCGATGGAGAAACCATGAGTTCTGATATTGGGAAGGGCTGGTTTGGGTCCTTCACGCATAGCTTTCGGTCCAGTGGGCGCGTTGATAGGTACGTCAACTGGCTTCACAAATGGAGGTTGCATGGCATGGAAACTCCCTCCACGGCCACCACGTGATTGTAAAAATCCACCTCGCGGGTGGCTAAGGTAGCGCATATTTGGATCTACAAGGGACATAGCATTGAAACCATCTCCAATCATGGGCATCGGCGCAAAAGCGGCAGATTCATTTGCCTCCAGTGATTGTATGGGTTGTGGGGTAAAATCATCATTCCCAGTTCCTGAAGTATCATGTTGAGAGACGTCTTCTGAGTTTACTTGCTGTTCTTTGCCGTCCTTAGTCGCAGAAGATACGGCATCTTGAATGTTAATGCCATCAATACCATTTTCTGCTTCGTTCTTAGGAGTATCTTGACGTAGTTCTCTGCCAAACTCGTCGACGTTCGCCCCAGACCCAGATTCAGTCTCTCCTTTCGGTCCTGTAGACATTGGATCATTTTCATTATATGATTCAGATGATTGCTGACCTTGGCCAACTTGCTGTTGCAAATGTTGTGAGTGGTCATTAAAGCCATGTCCATGTCCACCACGATTCTGGTGCCAGCCACCTCTGCCTCTACCTCGTCCACGGCCTTGGTAGCCTTGTGAATAGCTGTTTTGATAGTCATTGTACTGATTTGCGCGTCCAAAATTACCTTGGTTAAATCCTGCAGCATTTTGTGGAAAACCAGAATTATTTGCTCCATAATCACCAGGGCCCATGCCAGCAGCATTTGGATGATTGAAATTATCTGGTCCGACATTCCATGATTGTTGGGAATTCCACCCATTATTGAAACCAGCACCTATACCACCATCGAAGTTCCCCATACCCATACCCATGTTCATGCCGTTCATGCCCATGCCTGCTCCCCCAAAGCCACCATTCATCATCATATTTTGCATTGTCATCGGATCCATATTCATACCTGGCATTCCTGCAATAGTATTTAGTTAGGTCTCCATTTGCTGTGATATAAGTGTCGTCAAACATACCCATCATAGGGAAATTCCCGAAACCTCCTGGAGCCATGCCATTCTGCATTGCCATCATCATTTGCATTTGATTGAAGTCGCCAGAAAACCCCATCCCAGGAAATCCACCAGACGCAGATTGATCAAAGCCAAATCCACTTCCAAAAGCTGGTGTAGGAGCTACTCCAGTTTCTCCTTCCTTCTCTGCGGTGTCTTTCTTCTCAACCTTTTCACCATCGACTGAGGCGTCTGCCTGTTTCACATCCTCACTAGGCTCTTGACCAGGCGCGATCTCCTAATTCATAGTAAGTATCTATTAAACTCCAAGGTAATACCTATAACCATACCTCAATTGAGGGCTGTGGGACATCATGCTCCTCTGACTGTGATATCTCAGATGCGCCGGTTTCTGCGGAGATATTATTCTCCTCCGCAGGTTTACCAGCCCCGGCGTCTGTCTGTACTCCGTTGGCAGATGTAGCATCTTCCAGCGTCTTCTTTGAGGTATCATCAACAGGCCCAGTTAAACTGCTCAGCTCGGTTGGAGTTGGAAGAGCTTCTACAGGTGTAGCTGGTGGCGTCTCTTTGCTTTGTTTAGCTAGAGCGTCAACGCGCTTTTTCTCCTCCGTTCTCAAAAAGACCTTGATTGTGGTTCGTAGTGATTTATGTGGTTTGCAATCCTCTGAAGCCACTGGTGTATGTTCGCATACTGGACAGGAAGAAGGAAGAGTCGAATGACCTCATACATGTTAATAACTGATGCAATTCACATTGCGCAGAAGAGTGAGCTTACAAGTCTCGCAGATGGCCTGGTCGCAACAAGGTAAACGAAAAGCATTGACGGCTAATTTGCTACATATGGCGCATCGAAGCTTGATTGGGATTTCATCTTGAGATAGAGAGCTGGAACTGTGTGAGCCATTGTCATCTGTGGTGAAATGTTTGGGAAACATACCTGATGAGTTCAGCTTGAGCAGCAGTAGGCGCAGACATATTGATCCTCCTAAGTCAAAATGCGAATATGAAAAGATAGGTAGTGATCAATGCTGACTTGTGGGATTAAGCCTGATACTGAGGTAGGAAAGAAAGAGTAAAAGAATGGACGGCGCTCTACCTGCATGGATGATAAAAAGTCATACAAAGAGGCACATAATTTCAATGAAGATATTGAGATTCAAAAGGATCGCGTTTGCATTTGCGACGGAGTGTTTGGGGCAGATATCAAGTTTTTAGCTTGCTGCCCATGAATTGATTTGCGACTTTGCGCGTAGGCTGGTCGGCAATAAACTTTTTTACTTCCGAGCTAGTGACGGTTTATTCACGTGCTTTGGGAATTTTACATATAATACCTGAGTAGATGAGGAAGCTAGCAGTATATCTATTGCGTGCGTATTGCAGAATGATTTATTAATGGATTATGATATGAATGGAGATATTGTGATGACTCTGGTGACTGCACTGTACTTAATCATGCTGAATATTGCTTGTTTACAAAGGCTCTCAACTCAACAGTATAGTGGCTACTATAGCTACCTATGAGTAAAGAACTTCTCTAGTATTATATAACTGGTGATTCCCACTTATAATTAGGTATTAAATGGGTTTGGAGAAAAGTAACATTTAATGTGGTGTGGCTAATTGACTGTGGCGGATATAAGTCCACTCATAATGACCTAGTAGTCTACTTTTAGCTGTCCGCCGAGTCAAGTTACTTTCTCAGACTTTGCCATCATATTTTCCATTAACTCCTCTTAATCTTTAACCTTGCTTTCTCTCCCATAAACCTACTTTCTCTTCCATAAATCTTCCTAATAATGTAATATTGAACAATTCACCCCTCATCATGTTTTTGGGACAAGTTTCGTGGCTGGATATTGCCATCTTTCTCTTCTTCCTCACACCTCAATTGATCATCCATGTTGGCTTCTTCCAAACTGCCAGTTGTGGTCTGCAGGCACTACCATTTTTATGTAAGACACATACAGATGTCCATCCCAGATATAATGCTGACAACCACATAGTAATCAAATTACCTCTATCATTCATCAAGGAACGCTTTTTAACAAGCTACAAAAACCAATCGCCTTTTATTCAAGAAGCTTCCTGGTTTGAGGATATTGTCATTCGTTGTGTCCGTTATGCCTTTGCCTATATTCCAGCAAATATTGGTCGAGTCTTCTTCTCAAAAGCAGTCGCGTTGCCATTTTTGAGGTTCCGTATGCTTCGTCATGGATTCATAAAATCCCCTATTCACTGGCATGAGGTCAATCGGGTAATTATCCCGTGCTCTTGATTGCCGAATGACGTTCAAGTATACTAAAGTTTCTAGGACGACATGAAAGGAATTTGGATCATTGCGGACAACACTAGGGAACCTGATATTGTGATTTATTATGCCCATGGTATGTCCATGCATTTCTTTGCTTTAATCTCGAAAATACTAAAAGAGTATTAGGTGGTGGATTCTCCATGGGATCAAGCTATTTCTACTTGGAATTTCTTCTTTCATGGTTGAGCCTACTCAAAGACTCTAGAAAATTTCGAAACCCCGCAATCTTCGCATTAGAATACAGCTTAGTACCTGATGAATCATATCCCACTCAACTTCACGAAGCATTTGCCGGCTACAAATATGTCCTATCCATGACGAACCACCCATCCAAAATTTGTGTCAGTGGCGATTCAGCTGGAGCGACATTGATTCTCAGCTTGCTTCTTCACATAGCCAGACCAGATATAGTCAAGTCGGATGCAACCATGGAGATTATACATACCGAGACCCCTGCAATGGCAGTTTTGATTTCTCCTTGGACTACTCTCGATTCACCAGAGGCCAAGAATACTTCAAGTGACTACTTAGATACCAATAGCCTACGTCGTTATGCACGTCAATACGCTGGAAGTCGAGCTTCTTTCTCAGATCCCTCTCTCTCACCAGGGGCATGTAAAGATTTGGACTGGTGGAGAATGGCCAGTCCTACCAGAGGTTTCTTCATTACTTATGGTTCAGAGGAGGTCTTTGCTCCAGAGACTCGTGACGTTATTATGCTCCTCAAAAAGTCTAGAAAGGTTGAGATACGAGCACAGGAACAAATTGGTGGCATTCACGCATGGCCTGTCGCAGCTCTATTCTTAAGTAGCACCTCATCCTCAAGGTTGAAAGGGCTGCGTATGCTTGTAAGCGAAATAGGTGAACGAATGGGAAAGGTACATTGAGGCAGTATCTCCATGGAATGTTTTAATTTCCATAAAATCGATTGACAATCCTAGAATATGATGAAATGAAGAAAATGTGCCACTGCCATTTCAGTATTGGTAATGGATACGAGCATTGCTTTGGAAGAGCAAATCTGCCTCGATACATATTGACTTATTTCACCAAGAATTATCCGAATGATCTCACATCAATAACTATTTACTACCACACGAACTGACGGAGAACATCACATCGAGAGCGTAAACTCAGTCCCCGCTTCCGAAGTCGAATATGGCTATCCCCAAAAGTCAAAACAAAGTTCTCAGATCAAGGAAAAGCTAAAGTCGCCAGCACCAGCGCCAGGAGCAGAGAAATGAGAATAATGGCCAACAATCGATTCACCATAATGTCAACCACGAGTGCTAATCATGTCAATGGACACCGATTCAGGTAATCGACAGTGGAATAATCAAATATACATCAGAGGAATGTAACTGCATCACTGATCTTCGAATTTTACAACTATAGACTCTAGCCACTACCTAAAAGTTTAACAAATAACCCATATTTTCAAAACTCAACTAATATGATTTCATAATGCAACAGTAAACCCCTTTCTCCTTCATCAGACTCTCTCACAACATGAACGTTTGCAACGGTCAATCCTCGGAACACAGGATTAGTATGACTTTACTGTACCACCAGAAGATTTTTATACATACTAGGTAACCAAATCACACAAAAAGAAACCACGTAATTATAAAAGCTCGATATCATAGATCCAAAAAGTAAACTTTAAAAATCAAAACATGCATAAATACAAACATTTATCTCAAACCCTTACTTCCCTTACTAAGTTACTTGTCTAAACAGGTAAGTGTACTCTCAGCCCTATAGAAAAGTAAAGTAAGTAAAAGTAAAGTAAAGTAAAAGTAAAAGTACCCACCCATACATAAATCGGAATACCTAAATTCGCAATCCCGATTTCTCCCCCCCCCTCTTCCCTACTTACTTCTTGACTCGGAACTCGGCACACTGAGTGATTCATCCATGTATGCAAGCAAGCAAGCAAGCAAAGTTAGCAAATAACTTAAAGTTACAAGCAACATCATATACAGACACTTTAAAGTTCAAACTCCTAGAATTTTTGATTTTTTGACCGACTCGAGCTCCTCGAGTATACCAATTTAGTAGAGGAGTACTAATTGTACTCTGTATGTTCATTACGAGTATTAGTAGAGAAATACTGTCTGTGTACATAGAGACGAAGCTTAGGAGACATTGTGTGTCGATCATCGATATCGATATACATTCATACATCTCTCAACCAATCAAGTTTCCCATGTATTTCTTACATCATAGATTTCCACCTCCTTCGACAATTTTACTTAAAAGGGAAAAGGACGTTAAACTATTGTCCACCGGTGTTTCGCAGCGTGAAAAGTTTTTTTTCTTTTTTTTAGGTTTTTACTTTATCGTGATTTGATCGATGATCTTTCATACTACTTCAAGTTGCGGCTTTTTGCTTTGCGTTTTACACTAGATATTTCTTGAATCTTGACTCTTGGGGGTTTGTCTGTCCTTTTCGCATATCTTGTATCTTATATATCATACCTACCTACCTCTTTTTCCCTCTCATAATTTTCGTGTATATAATTTCTTGGATCCCTGTATCTATTTAGCATCATCAGCATCATGGCACCCAGTTTTGAAACCCCTCCTCGAGAGACCACACCCAACGATGACGAAAATCCATTATGGGAAATCAAACCCATCCCGGGAAAAGGACAAGGTGTACTAGCCACACGCTTCATAACCCCAGGAACCCTCCTCTTCCACGAAAAACCCCTCCTCACAACCGAGACGTTGAGTGATCCCTCCACGACCGAAAAAGACCTAGCACGCTTACTCCGCGCTCTTCCCAAAGAATCTCAACGCGCCTATCTCTCCCTCCACAATAATTATCCCGGTCAAGGATCCCCCCTCACGAACATCATCCGCTCGAACGCCTATCCACTCGGCCCCTCCTCCCCCATCGGCGGCATCTTCGCCACCATCTCCCGCATCAACCATTCCTGTCTCCCCACAACCCAACACTCCTGGAACGAAAAACGTCAAGAGTTCGTCGTCTACGCCGTACGAGACATCCACCCCGGAGAAGAAATCACCACATCCTACCACGTCGGGGGACCCTCCAGCGAGCGCAAAGCCGCGCTTGAAGAATTTTTCAAATTCATCTGTACCTGTACACTGTGTTCACTTCCAGCAAGCGAACTCCAAAAATCAGACGCGCGACTCATTCGTGCCGCGTCTTTGGACCAGGCTATCGGAGATGCGGAAACAGTGATGAAGACGCCTGAAAAAGTACTCGGGACGTGTCGAAAGCTCGAGACGATTTATCGGGAAGAAGGGATTCAGGATCAGCGGGTGGGAAGACTCTATTGGGATGCTTTTCAGATTTGTAATCGTCATGGTGATTTAGCACGAGCGAGTGTGTTTGCGCGGAAATATAGGGAGAGGAAGGTACTGGGTGAGGGGGAGGATAGTGCGGGGGCTGAGGAAGCGTTGGTGTTTATGAGAGATCCGAGGAAAGATGATAGTTATGGAGGGAGTCAGAGGTGGAGGAGTGGAGTGGAGGATGTTCCGAAGGATTTGAATGAGGTGGATTTTGAGAAGTGGTTGTGGAGGGAGTAGATTTTTATTTTGGGGTTTTGGGGATTGGGATTGGGATTGGGGAGTTACCTAGTTTTTGGATTGGTGTTACGGAGATTTAGGATAAGGATGATTTTTGATTTGAATCTTATCGGATCTAATCTAGATCTTTATCTGTATCTAGATATACATTCGGATTGAAAAAATACCATATTTTCATTTAAATAGTAGTAACTTGGATCTAGTATATATATCAGTATGTCAATCCCATTATTCGAAAATAAAAGTAATTTTGTTAGAAACACGTGACAGCCGTACTAGAAAGCCGTATAGAAGTACGCTAGTGTTGTCATCATTTCATATACTAGGGTATATTCTAGAATACAACTCTCTTCATACCTAGTATTTAGATAGGTACACAATAATAAGATTGAAAGATTTTCCACTCCCAACAAATTTAATTAATTTTTCATAGGTATTTTCATAGGTAGCAATAGAGTAGTATACCAATACACAGAGTATATAAATGAGTCAATCAACCATCACCATCACCATCACCATCACCATCACCATCACCATCACATCACATCACATCACCAACCCATCACTCCCCCACCCCCAACAACCAACCCAACCCCTTCCTACAATCCGCATTAAACCTCCTCGTAAACCCCGCCTCAGGAAACCACGTCCAAAACCCATGCGGTAACCCCTCATACACATGCACCTTCGTTTCCACCCCATTTCCTCTCAAAATATCCTCATAAATAAATCCTTCATCTCGAAGCGGATCTAAACCACATATTTGGAAATAGGTTTTTGGGAGATTTTTATGCGAGGAGAAGAGGATTGGGGTTGCGAGGGAGGTGGGTTCTTGTACTGCGTAGTGTTCTTTTATTTTATTTTTGGTTAGATTTTAATTCTTATTTCTTATTTTGGGGAGAAGGGGGGGTAAGATGGGAAATATGACATACTATCGAAAACATCCGCGACTTCGCGATTTAATAATGGAGCGTTTTTGTTTTGTTCGAGACTTAGATATACAGATTTGTATTTCTCCGGTACGACTTTTTCGGGGATGATAGGAGGGATCGAGAGATATACACCTGTTAAAGGAGGAGAGATATTATCATCTCGATATAAATGCGACACGATAGATGCAAAATTAGCACCTGCTGAAATACCTCCCACTAGGAAACCTTTGCTTGGATTGATGTGAAGGTCATCTAGATTTGCTGCTGTCTATTTATTAGATATTATTCCAAAAATTAGCATACATTCTGAACAATCAC